ACCACGCCTGGCTCTTGTTAAAAGTTTTTTGTAGAAATGGGATCTTGCTATTGCTATATTGCTCAGGCTCATCTAGAACTCCTGGCCTCAGGCGATCCTCCCACCACAGCCTCCCAAAGTGCTGGGATTATAGGCTTTAGACACTGAGCCAGGCCTGGAGAGTAGTTTGAAACAGAGGAAGTAAAGGAAGGTCACATGTCAGCCTTGCACACTGGCCTGAGCTATTTGCCCAACAGGTGCTACATTTGAAACTACAGCTCAGAAAAAGGAATTCCTCCATATGGACAGGGAGTGGAGCCAAAAGCAACCTACACATTCCTGCCTTTGACTACACTAGCTCTAGAGATACCTCCTACTATGAGGAAGAATTAATGGAAAAATGCCTATGAAAAAAATAATATGCCACAAGGCAATGGAGGCTACTCTGAAGAGCAAGATCTAAAACTAACTTACAAGAATTCTTCCACATGGAAACTATATCATTATGATGTGTCAATACAGATTCATCAGTTGTGACAAATGTGCCACTCTGGTAGAGGATGCTGCTAAGGAAGGAGGTTATGCATGTGTGGGGGCAGGCGGGTATATGGGATATTTCTATACCTTCCTCTCAGTTTTGCTCTGAATCTAAAACTGCTCTCGAAAAAATAAAGCTTTGGCCAGGCACAGTGGCTCATGCCTGTAATCCCAGCACTTTGGGAGGCCAAGGTGGGCAGATCACCTGAGGTCAGAAGTTTGAGACCAGCCTGGCCAATGTGGCGAAACCCCATCTCTACTAAAAATACAAAATTAGCCAGGCGTGGTGGCACACCCATGTAATCCCAGTTACTAGCAAGGCTGAGGGAGGAGAATTGCTTGAAACTGGGAGGTGGAGGTTGCAGTGAGCCAAGATCATGCCACTGCACTCCAGCGTGGGCAACAGAGAGAGACTCTCTCAAAAAAATAAATAAATAAAGCCTTAAAAAAAACCTATATGAAACAGGGACAGAAAGTTATATGTAACTGGCTGAGATGAAAAGACAATAGGATAAAAAGAAAGAGGAAGTGAGAGAAATATAAGCACCATAGCAAATTAAAATAACCATTCTAGGCCGGGCGCGGTGGCTCAAGCCTGTAATCCCAGCACTTTGGGAGGCCGAGACGGGCGGATCACGAGGTCAGGAGATCGAGACCATCCTGGCTGACACGGTGAAACCCCGTCTCTACTAAAAAATACAAAAAGCTAGCCGGGCGAGGTGGCAGGCGCCTGTAGTCCCAGCTACTCGGGAGGCTGAGGCAGGAGAATGGCGTGAACCCGGGAGGCGGAGCTTGCAGTGAGCCAAGATCGTGCCACTGCACTCTAGCCTGGGCGGCAGAGCGAGACTCTGTCTCAAAAAAAAAAAATAAATAAAAAATAAAATAAAATAAAATAACCATTCGAGACAATATGGAAGAGAAACTAAGCTATAGAACATCTTATCAGACTGTCCTTTTTAATAGAGGACAAACTTTAAAAGGTCTCCAGAATACAGAAGAGAAAGCCGGAACCAATGAGAAGTGGTGCTAACTACAGGGAAAGGGTAAGGGGAGCCAGGGTAAGAATAAGTGTTTCTGAGAATCAAGAACAAATGGAACAGAAGCAATTAAAACTGTAACTGAAGGAAAACAGGCCCAGCGCCATAGCTCATGCCTGTAATCCCAGCACGTTGGGAGGCCGAGGCAGGATGATTGTTTGAGGCCAGGAGTTTGAGACCAGCCTGGGCAATATAATAAGATCCCCTCTTTACAAAAAATTTAAAAATTAGCTGGGCGTGGTGGCATGCACCTCTAGTCCCAGCTATTGGGGAGGCTGAGGTGAGAGGATTGTTTAAGTCCAGGACTTTGAGGGCTGCAGTGGGCTATGATCGAGCCACTGCACTCCAGCTTGGGCGACAGGGTGAGACCCAGTCTCTAAAACAAATGAAAAATAAAAATAAGAATAAGCTGAAAGTCAAAAAAAAAAAAAAAAAAAGACTGAGTGGGCTCCCTGTGTTCCAGTGGAGAGTAGGGGTGGGGGGAATCAATGAAGAAATAATGGTATTGTGTTTTTTGTTTGTTTGTTTTTTGAGACAGGTTCTCACTCTCTCACACAGGCTGGAGTTCACTGGCTTGATCATAGCTCACTGCAACCTCAAACTCCTGAACTCAAGTGATCCTCCCACCTCAGCCTCCCAAGTCGCTGGGACTACAGGCATGCACCATCACACCCAGCTAATTTTTGTACTTTTTGTAGAGACAAGGTTTCGCCATGTTGTCCAGACTACTTTTGAACTCCTGGGCTCAAGCAATCCTCCCACCTCAGCCTCCCAAAGTGCTGGGACTACAGGCATGAGCCACTATGCCTGGTTGATATTGCTTTTAAGATAGGAAGAAAGAAAAAATCAATTTAAAACTATGTACACTGTTTATAATAATTACATATATAAGAGCTAACATACACAGGACAAATACTGGAAAAGGTATAATGAAATGGTAACAGGTTATTCTAAGTTGTGGGTGCAACATTAGGGTGAACCTCTCCCCCTTTGGAAACAAGGGATACACCATAGTTCTCAGAGAGCTGAACTATGAGAGGACATAAGAAATAAACTGAAAGAGGTAACTTATAGCCCAGGCTACTATCTATATGACTATAATAATATACCTACAGAAAAGGTCAAGTAAAATTGCTATCGACTGAACCACACAGAATCAAAAAAAGAGAACTACAAAAGTAAATGCTCCCGCAGCATTAGGTGGGGGAAGTTAGCCAAAGGAATTTGAGTCTTCTGACCTTAAGGGTGAGAGCATTGCTTCTGTGGAGATGGCTATAGGCAAAGTTATCCCTATCAAAGCCTGATGCCAGTAAACACTGATTTTACACTCTACCTGTCTAACCCCCTTGTTCTGATTCCATGGTCACTAAATGACCTTCTGACTATGATTCTGTTTCATGTGTAATTATATCCAAAGGAAGAGAATGTGCTGATCAAGCACCTACATGTTTAACCTATGAGATGGCAACTCCTTGTTATAAATTAATAAATTGGATTATCACGGGAAAGAATGTGCTAATTTATGTATTTATTTGAGACAGGGTCTTGCTCTGTTGCCCAGGCTGGAGTGCCATAGCTCAATCATAGCTCACTGCAGCCTCAAACTCTTGAGCTCAAGGGATCCTCCTGCTTCAGTCTCCTGAGTAGCTGAGACTACAGGCATGTGCCACCATGCCCAGCTAATTTTTTTTATTTTTTGTAGAGATGGGGTCTCACCATGTTGCCCAGACTAAGAATATGCTTAAATTTATAAGACTAAGTATTCAAGTGTTAGGAAAGCCATTTAAGTTTACTGGTTAAAGACATGGGCTTTGGAATCACAGAAATACAAGTTTAAATCTTAGTTCTGCCACCTGCTGGCTGTGCAATCGCAGCTATAAAATGAGGGTAGTATCTGTCTTGGGGATTAATAGTGTTAAACAGGATAATGCATGCAAAGTACTTAGCACAGTGTTTGGCACATAGTAGGTGTCCAGTAAATAGTTGTTGAATAAACAAAATGAATATACTTGATCAATAAATGGTTATTATTTAAAATTTGGAATTTAAATGAGCTCAGTTCATGCATGCCTTCTTCTAAAAGACAGATCCAACCTTAGGGCGCTGGGCAAAAATCAGAGTTTTGGACTTAACTAACTTGAAGACCAGACTCTTCCAGACTTTGATAATTTTCCACCATTCTGTAAGAGGCCTTTTGAGAAAAAGACTGAGAATCTTGTTTTTCCTGGTTTTAATACTCTGGGTAGTAGGACTATGAGTAACTGTTTTCCTTTCTATTGTTTTAAATTGTCTATAATACAAAAAAGTCCTTTTTATTACCTAAGTAATTTTTTTTAATTACCACAAAAATTTGGAAAAAGAAAAGATAAATAATAAAGAATAAATAAAGGAAAGCTGGAAATAAGGTTTGGCACTAAAATGCACTGCAGTAAGGTGCCACAGATTTGCTAACGGTATCAAGGAAATTCATCCCTATATTTTCTATCAGACTTCTAAAAAAAAAAAAAACAAAATCGATGAGCATCACAGCATCTATAAGATAAAAATAAGGTAAGGGCCCATAAGAAGCACAGCCATTCTTATTAGTAAACCAGGAGAGAAATTCTTCCCACAGGTATTCATTAAAGTGTTTCTTCTTTAAGTGAGCCACTGGCAAAATGTCAGAACACAAAGTCTAAAATGTAAACTCTGGACCAATTCAAGGGCACTGTTGTTTCTGAATTACAGAAACAAAACAAAGTAAAACCCGAACCTCCTCTGAAGTTGATTTCTTCCATAAAATCGTCACATAACACAAACTGTGGAAATGGTGTTAGATGTATTTGATATATGACACACTTTTCCTCAAAATAACGTATCAACATGAAATACCTAAAGACAGTGCAAAAGAAAATAAATAAAACCTGAAAAAAAAGTTTTTTCAGACCTTTTTTTGACCAAATGCAAAGAATATATTAATAACTCCTTCTTTTTTTTTTTTTTTTTTTTGAGACAGGGTCTTGCTCTGTCACCCAGGCTAGAGTGCAGTGGCACGATCATGGCTCACTGAAGCTTCAACTTCCCAGGCTCAGCCTCCTGAGTAGCTGGGACTACAGTCTCGTGCCACCACGCCCAGTTTATTTTTTTGTAGACATGGGGTTTTGCCATGTTGCCCAAGCTTGTCGCAAACTCCTGGACTCAAGTGATCCATTCGCCTCAAAAGTGCTGGGATTACAGGTATGAGCCATTGTGCCCAGCCTTATTAAAACTTCTTAGTGGTAGATGAACAAAATAACCTTCTTTACTAGAATTAACTGAGAGCTCACATTACTTGTTTACTTTAAATTACAAAATAGTTTAAAAACAGAAGGCAGAAATGTCACTCTTATAGGATCAATTCCATATTTTGGAAGAAATACGTAAGTTAGGATTTATATTTTCTAACATAAAATATAGTCTAGATCTTACCAGTTGATTCCATTTTCTTACTAACTGCTTCTGGGTATTCATCTAAGAAGAAATCTGGTTGCAAAGGATGACCTGAAAAATTGACCCCAAACCATTAGGTTAATGTAACTACAACATAGTAAGATTTTAACATCTGTTTAGTAAACATATCTGTTTCATTAAAAATCATTCTGGTGCAACAGAAAAGGCCTCCGTGAGAACTGCGAATGACCTGATCTTCATTCAATTAATTTTCTCATAATTCAGTTATCCTCCTCTCCTCTGATAAATTTTATCTTCAAGATTTAATCCCCAAAAGATCACCTTTTCTGTAAAGCCTTTACCTGCTCTCCCAGGAACCTTTGCCCTTCTCATCCTACACTGCTCTTCTGGCCCACATTCTTCCAAAGTGCTCAGGACTCATTTCTTACCTGCCCTCCTAAGAGCAGAGGGCCTCTTCTTAAGAAGGACTTTCTTCTCAGCATTAGTGCATTTGGGTCTCTTCTCTCTCTCCCTCTTCCTCTCACTCCATCATCATGAAAACTAAGCTATCCTATTCCATCCATTCCACTGGGTTATTATTATTATTATTGACACAGGGTCTCACTGTCACCCAGGCTGGAGTGCAGTGGCATGATCTTGGCTCACTGCAACCTCCACCTCGTGGGATCCAGTGATCCTCCTCCCTCAGCCTCCCAAGTAACTGGGACCACAGGTGCAAGCCACCATATCCAGCTAATATTTATTTATTTATTTATTTATTGAGATGGAGTCTCGCTCTGTCACCCAGGCTTGAGTACAGTGGCACAATCTCGGCTCATTGCACCCTCTGCCTCCCAGGTTCAAGGAATCCTCCTGCCTCAGCTTCCCAAGTAGCTGGGATTACAGGTGCCCACCACCAGGCCTGGCTAATTTTTGTATTTCTAGTAGAGACAGAGTTTCCCCATATTGGTCAGGCTGGTCTCGAACTCCTGACCTCAGGATATCCACCCACCTCGGTTTCCCAATGTGCTGGGATTATGGGCATGAGCCATGGCACCCGACCACTCATTTTTATTTTTTATAGACAGAGGGTTTTGCCATGTTGCCCAGTATGGTCTTGAACTCTTTGGCTCAAGTGATCTGCCGGCCTTGGCCTCCCAAAGCGCTGGGATTACAGGTGTGAGCCACTGCACACAGCCTCCACTGGGTCTTATTTTCAGCTAATGGTTGTGGTTAGCAAATAGGCTAACTGTTTTAATTACACTGATAACTCCAAGACACGTGCACACTAGAAGATTTAAAGGCCACAAAGCCTTCAAAACTATAGTACAGTGAGATGTTAACAATCTCAATTGCTCTCTTTTTCTTTTCTTTTCTTTCTTTTCCTTTTTTTTCTTTTCTTTTCCTTTTTTTTTTTTTTTTTTTTTTTGAGGTGGGGTCTTGCTGTTTTGCCCAGGCTGGTCTCAAACTTCTGGGCTCAAATGAGCCTCCTGCCTCAGTCTCCTGTCTCTCTCTCTCTTTTTCAGAAGTTTAAGCAAACTTCTGGAGGGCAGGAATGAATTCATCTTTGTTGTATCCTAATATCATAGTATCTGGTCATACTAAGTTCTCAATACTTGATAGGATTTTTAATTTAAATAAAATTTTAAAACTTGTGCACAATTACACTGTGTCTTTAAAACCTAAAGTAATAATTATATTCCTGGGTACCAGGACCCAGAAGACCCGAATCTAGTCAGGTTCTGCCGCCTATTAGCCATCTGCTCTTAGGCAAAGGCTCAATCTCTCTGAGCCTGTTTTTCCACTTGTAAATATTAACTACCAAATATTCTGAGTGTACTATATGCTGGGCACTGTGCCAAAAACATACGTTATCACATTTAGTCTTTACAAAAATCTTGTATGAAATGTATCGTTCTCTTAAGTTTACCAATATGGACATTAAGGCTGAGACAGACAAACTGGGTGACACGCTCAAAGCTGCATAGCAGTGAGCAGCAGAGCTGCAATATGAACCTGGCTTGTCTTCTCCCAAATTCCATGTTCTTAATCACTAAGCATTACTTCCCTTACAGAATTGTTATGCAGGCTAAATACATAATGCATATAAGAGTGCTTTATAAAACTATAATCTGCTATTTAATTCAGTTGGAACTGCAGAGATGAGCAGGGATGATACAAATATAAACATGGTTTGTGTCATTTAGAAGCTCAGCTTAATGAATAATATTTAAAATATACTTTACCATAAATTAAATTTACTTCTATATATGGCTATATTAGAATACATCATATTCTATATGGTAAAAATCCATTATTATCATTATCATCCACGATTTCAGAGAGAGAGAGTTACTTAAAAAGAGGGCTTTCTGGAAGCTTCTCAGATCACTTTACTACACCATGCCCACTCATCTACACCATCTGTCATTAAGCTACTCTAAGAGACTGCACTTAAGAGACAAATATTTACAGAGTCCACAATCATAAATTATTTTAAACAAAAAAATTCATGACTGGGCCAGGTGCAGTGGCTCACACCTGTAATCCTAACACTTTAGGAGGCCAAGGCAGGCAGATCACTTGAGCTCAGGAGTTCAAGACCAGCCTGGGCAACATGGTGAAATCCCACATCTACAAATATAAAAATTAACCAGGTGTGGTGGCACATGCCTATAGTCCCAGCTACTCAAGAGGCTGTGGTGGAAGGATTGCTTGAGCCTAGGAGGTGGAGGTTGCAGTAAGCTGAGATCGTGCCACTACACTCCAGCCAGGGTGACAGAGTGAGACCCTTTCTCAAATAAATAAATAACCCACTACTGTACCATCTGTCACCACGTATTCTTGAACAAAATCTTTACTCTGTGATTTTAAGACCAACTTTAAAAAATAATTTTCATTTCTTATTTCGAGATTTGGAAGTGGCTAGTAGCTGATCTGACTTTCTGTGCTTATATATATCACTTCAAAAGCCCTCAACTCACCTCTATTTTTTATTCATCTTTTTTTTTAAGTTGTGTTGGTATGGGTTTTTTTCCTTCATTGGGAAGACAGCTTTTAAAATAACATATTCATTTTACGATCACACAAACACAAAAAAACAGATGTGTTCATGGCAGAAAATATGGAAAAACATATTGTTACTTTTAAAAACTATACAAGCATTACCTGGTTTAATTGCATAGATGTCAAAATTTTGTATTCCTTCTGCTTTTAAGATATTTTCATCAATGACGAAGTTGCCAGTAAAACTTTTTGGCTTTTGGAAAATGGAATATGCTGCATCTGCAATGATATCCACTTTTCTACACTGGCTTTCGATACCAGGTCCTCCCAGCATCTCCGTAGCAGCAGTGTGTATGGCTGTAGAGAAAACACACACACACGTACACTTGTAACTCCAAATCAAATAATAAAACTATGGAAGTAACAAGCACTACCCTTCACAATTATCAAGGCTAATTCTTTCATTTCTCAGATGATGAAAACAAGGTCCAGACTGCTTAAGGGATTTGCTAAATTTTTTTGCTTTTTGTTTTTGTTTTTGTTTTGGAGACAGTCTTGCTGTGTCGCCCAGACAGGAGTGCAATGGCGTGATCTCCGCTCACCGCAACCTCCACCTCCTGGGTTCAAGCAATTGAACCCAGCCTTCCGAGTAGCTGGGATTACAGGCGTGCGCCACCACACCCAGGAAATTTTTTGTATTTTTAGTAGAAACGGGGTTTCACCATGTTGGCCAGGCTGGTCTCAAACTCCTGACCTCGTGATCCATCCACCTCGGCCTCCCAAAGTGCTGGGATGACAGGCGTGAGCCACTGAGCCCGGCCCCAGAATTTGCCAAATGTTCCACAGAGAGAACTGGGTAGAAAACACATGTTCCTTACTCTGTGCAACCCTGCCTTATACTACAGACTAAACCAGAAGACTCACAGTAAAATTCAATGAACTTTCTGATTTAGAATGCTCAAGAATTTGCATGTCTTTTAAAGGAATAACTGAAGAGACCTCTAATAGCTTCCAATTGATTCTCTTGATAACAGCTAAGAGATTACTGCCTGAAAACAGACAGTACCACCAGTCTTAATACCCAAAATTTCCTTTCACATAAACATATGGAGTGCATATGAGGCTTAAAACATCAGCACTGCCTGTGATGACTCCTTCTCTGGGAAGAGAGCTTATTTCCCCTCTTTAACACCTGTCAGCCACCACCAACCACATGCACACATTCTTGTGGGAATTCACTGAACCAACAATGCCACTGATTGTAAAGTGCACCATTATGTTAGGGACCACTAAGGAAACAAAAAAGCTGCCAATTAAATTATGATATATCATTCATTGTAAGATACAGACTGGTATCAGAGATGTACAAATATAATACATGGGCATCTCAGCATCAATGAAAATGGTATAAACTCTTTCACCTAGTCAGTGAATAGGTTCCTTGAAAAACACTCAATAAATATTGCTTGGATTTCTGGGGGGGTCCTTTTTAAATTCAGACAACTCTGTTCTGTAGAAAATATGAGAAAATAGCCAGGTGCGGTGGCTCATGCCTGTAATCCCAGCACTGTGGGAGGCCAAGGTGGATGGATCACTTGAGGTCAGGAGTTCGGGACAAGCCTGGTCAACATGGTGAAACCCCATCTCTACTAAAAATACAAAAATTAGCCAGGCGTGGTGGCGAGTGCCTGTAGTCCCAGCTACTTGGGAGGCAGAGGTAGGAGGATCGCTTGAATCTGAGAGCCAGAGGTTGTAATGGGCTGAAATTACTCCAGTGTACTCCAGCCTGGGTGACAGAGTGAGACTCCGTCTCAGGAAAAAAAAAAAAAAAAAAGGAAATAAAGAGAAGTAAAAGGAAAAATTGCTTAATTAATTATAATTTCCCTATCTAGGGATACCTGCTGTTAATATTTGCATATAATTTTTACTATGTTAGCTGTACTTTTAAAAATTATGTGTCTTATATGAAGTAACTTGAAACTCTACAATTAACAGTACATTATTAATTACACATTGTCAACAGTAACATCTCAATTTGCTTACATATATCCTAGTTTACATCAAACAAGAAAAGTCTATTTATTTATTTATTTTCCAACATAATTCATAGGTTCACAGAAAGTCAATTTATTTAAATGTACTTAGGTTTGTGAGTTTCTAGTACTTTAGATAAAACTTATTTCCATACATTGTTAAAATACAATTTTAAATTATTATATGCTAGAATAACTTACATATTTTGGTCTATAAGATGAAATGTCTGTAGCTTTTAAGGGCCATTGGCCCTTTTGCATTCACTCAACAAATAGTTATTAAGCACTTACTATATATAAGTCAGGCGCTATTCTAGATATTAAGGACACAGATGTTGACAAAACGGACATAAGGCATCTACCTTCGTGGAACTTACATCCCTTTTTTTTAATGTTCAATTAATTTAGGGAATTTCTTGAAAGCATTGAGTTAGAAGACACTTTTCTACTTCATAACTAAAAATCATTTACTAGGAATAATTTTTTTTTTTTTTTTTTTTTTTTTTCCCCCGAGATAGGGTCTCATACTGGCACCCAGGCCAAAGGTAGTGGTGAGATCATGGCTCTCAGCAGCCTTGATCTCCTGGGCTCTCAAACTATCCTCCTACCTCACCCTCCCACCACATCCAGTTTTTTTATTTTTTATTTTTTTTTTGAGACGGAGTCTCACTCTGTTGCCCAGGCTGGAGTGCAGTGGCGCGATCTCGGCTCACCGCAAGCTCCGCCTCCCCCGTTCCCGCCATTCTCCTGCCTCAGCCTCCAGAGCAGCTGGGACTACAAGCGCCCGCCACCACGCCTGGCTAATTTTTTGTATTTTTAGTAGAGACGGGGTTTCACCGTGTTAGCCAGGATGGTCTCAATTTCCTGACCTCGTGATCCACTGGCCTCAGCCTCCCAAAGTGCTGGGATTACAGGCGTGAGCCACTGCGCCCGGCTTTTTTTTTTTTTTTTTTTTTTCTTTGTAGAAATGGGTCTTGCTATGTTTCCCAGGCTGGTCTCCAACTGGTGGGCTCAAGCCATCCTCCTGCCTCGGCCTCCCAAAGTGTTGGGATTACAGGTGTGAGCCACCATGTCCAGCCCTAGAAATAATTTTTTTCCGTAACCAACAGATCAAGAGCAAGAGCTCTGGTCTCACTCTTGAACTGATCCTTTATTAATTTAAAAAAAAAAAAAAATAGCAGCTGGATGTGGTGGCTAGAGCCTATAATTCCAGATATTCTGGAGGCTGAGGCAGGAAGATTGCTTGAGTCTAGGAGTTTGAGGCTGCAGTGAGCTATGACTGTGCCACTGCATTCCAGCCTGGGTGACAGAGTGAGACCCCATCTGCTTGTCAAAAAAACACAAAAATTAAAAATGAATAAACTAAAATAAAAAATAGCACCTGCCATTCATTAAGTATACCCTGTGCCAGGCATGCTATTACCTATTTTACATACATTATCTTACTTAATTCTTAGAACCCTGAGGTAGGTCCTGTTGTTATTCCCATTTTATAGATAGGAGTGCTCAAGCACAGAGAAGTTAAGTAACTTGCCCAAGGTCACAGAAGCTAAAATTCAAACACCCAGCAGCCTGACTTGAGAGCCAGGCTCTCATCCATGATGCAACTAAATGGGTCATACCTTGTTAATCAAAGTTCTTGGAGTTCAGTTATCATCTCACTCTCGAAAACTGTAGAACTTTCCTGCACATAATTGAGTATAATCTATTTTGAAACGATATGCATACATGCACACTCCTAGTCTCCATGTAAACGACATCAGTTGCACAAGAATCCTTAAAAATTCTAAATTAGAAGTCTAATAAAAATATGTCACATGTAAGTATATACATGCTATGTGTGTGTGTCTATAGAATAAGAAATGTTCCTCCAACCTATCATTACTTTAACAATCTTTCTAGGAAAGATACAAAGAAGGTACAACTAGACACTCAAAAATCAAGAAGTGGGCCATTGAGTATTTCTCAACACAGATTTTGGAATGCCAACAAGCTAACCCAACAGGTTAGAAAAAACTGATAATGATAAAAACAGGTTAACAGTAGGATAAATCAAATGAAATTCACTGATGATTTCTGGGAAAGAAAATAAGCAAGATTTATAATGAAAGCAGATAAACCATGGATCACAAGAGTCACAACATCAACCCTAAAACTTAAGTCTTATTAAGAGATAACTGAAGAGACATCTAATAGCTTCCAATTGATTCTCCTGATAACAGCTAAGAGATTACTGCCTGAAAACAGACAGTACCAACAGTCTTAAGACCAATCAAAGATTTCCTTTCACATAAATATATGGAGTGCATATGAGGCTTAAAACATCAGCACTGCCCGTGATGACTCCTTCTCTGGGAAGAGAGCTTATTTCCCCTCTTTAACACCTGTCAGCCACCACCACACATATCCACATACTCGTGTGTGTATCCACTGAACCAGTGATGCCACCGATTATACAGCACACCATTACCTTAGGGATCACTAAGGAAAGAAAAAAGCTGCCAATTAAACTATGATATATCATCCATTGTAAGATACAGACAGATATTAGAGATGTACAAATACAAAGCATGGGGATGTCAGAATCAATGAAAATGTATAAACTGTTTAACCTAGTCAGTGAACAGGTCCCTTGAAAAACAGAGAAACTAGTTTTGATTTCTAGCACCAGACAGGAAGGAGGTGAGGCACCACCTTGTCGCCTCACCCTCCTTGGTTAGCTGAGTTCACAAATCTATTTGCAATATAGTCCAGGTGACAGAGGTCTGCAGCTGCTCTGTGATACTTCTGCGGCCTTCCTCTCTGCAGCCATTACCAAATCAGTAGCTGCCATACCCAGACTCCCCACCCCAAGCCCAAATCAAATCCACCCAAAAGTGGACTTTCCTGCTTCTACTACACTTGTCCAGACCAGTCACAAGGTAAGAAGAGTACGCATTGTGAATAGCAGCCGTCATCCCTCGCTCCTTCTCCACCCTCCATTTCAGCAAGAACCATGAAACAGGTCTTATAAAAAGAAAAAAATTACAATTCTCAAGGTGACCTAGTTGGAAGCCTGAAATTCCATGTTGTGAAACAACTAGAGGCCGGCCCTCTGATCCTTTCTCTGGATGTGCTGAATTCAGCAGGGTGAAAGTGCTAAACCCAGGAGGAGCAATGAAGTCAGTGTTGTTGAGAAGAGCACGCAGCTGAAAAGCCAAGTGGCAGACCAGGACACTGCTGTGATTGAGGATAATATATGTTACACTGTACTCACTCCGTTAAGCACAATAAATCTCTTTTTTCTTGAAAGGCAATAATGTTGGGAGATTACTTCTGGTTCCA